TACCCTGCAGTTTGGGGCTCGTAACTCGACAATCAGGGTCTAGAACAAAAAACGAGGGGATAATTTTTATTCTAGAGACTCTGACGAACATTTTGATACAAAAATCATCAAATTTGCTCAACTCTACAAAAAGTTATAACATTTTTAAAAAAGAAATAAGAAAATCTAAAAAATTCTCTATTGCACAATTTTTTTTGTTCAAACGAACAATGTAGCTATGTATCGTATTCACTCAAAACAATTAAGGAATATGCAAAATAATAGCTCAAGTGTGCAGGAGAGTCGAACCAACAACCCCATACTTTTGCGCGGGATTGACGTCGCGCGCCTTAGACCACTCGGCCACGGTTTCCCCATATGTTTTTAGGGTATTTTGCAAAATTTCTTTAAAAATGTTATAACTTTTTGTAGAGTTGAGCAAATTTGATGATTTTTGTATCAAAATGTTCGTCAGAGTCTCTAGAATAAAAATTATCCCCTCGTTTTTTGTTCTAGACCCTGATTGTCGAGTTACGAGCCCCAAACTGCAGGGTACCACAAAATTTCCCATACAAAATGACCAAAAAACCGCTAAAACTCAATTTTAAAAATTTCGGTCAAGGGGATTTGAAAAATTCCTTCAGATTCGGAATCAGCACAATTTTCCGCATCTAAAAAAGGTACTCCCGGAAAAATCCGATAGAAAACGCACGAAAGAATTTCATTTTCTTTTTAACAATTTTTTGGTTTAAAATCCTTAATGTATTCTTGATTGATTCTTTTTTTTTTCTCTTTTTCACTATCGTTTATTTGGCAATCGTTTGAAAAGATGTTTCTATTTGAAGAATTTCAACATTATTACCGTAAATACTGTAATAGGACCCCACCTCCTTCGTACAGTCGCGTAGTCGCAAGTCACAAGTTTCTAGTATTTCATTTTTTTCAAAGCGCCCGTACTTTCAAAAATGCGTCTTTGGTATCAAAAAATAGCTGAAATTCAGGGCTATTTTTTGATACCTAAGCGCGCATTGTAGCATAAACCAGTGTCGAGAAAAACTCGCTCAAAGCTAGACTACGCAACACTTCGCACGGTCTTTATGGGGGTGGGCGTACTATTACAGTATTTACGGTAGGCTCTTCCTTTTTCTTGGTGAGTCAAGTCATTTCTATAAGGAAAAAGAAAGAATCAAGTGCACCAGAAAAGCGCTTCCGATCGAAGCTCAAAGTACAAAAGCCTGAGCCTAAGCCATATGACCAAAGCCATTGATTGACTCTGACTGACTCGGCATTGAACCCGTGCTCACCTTTTGTCGAAGGGATTTCAAAAATTCTTTTTTTTTAGCACATTCAGAAAATTTAGCACATTTTTCTGCGTCAATCGGCTATTCAAACGTAAAAATCCTAAAGCAAACACATTTTCGTATATTGCAGATGTGGGGTGGGGCTACTATTACAGTATTTACGGTATGCCGATGCCAAAGATTGATAGAAATTTGATTTTGAAGTAAAAACAAACTGAGGGGGCGGAGGGGAAGCTCAATACTTTTTTCCATTCTTGTATCCTAATCTAAATTTAAAAGCCATTTTCTAAAACTCCCTTTGTTTGAAGAACTTTGTTCTTTGTTCTTTGTTCTTTGTTTTTCAAACAAGTTAACTAAAATGAAGTGATCTTTGGTTCTTTATCTCTCTAGATTTGGTTCCTTATCTGTCTAGATTTAGTTCTTATCTCTCTAAATTTGGTTGCTTATCTGTCTAGATTTGGTTCCTTATCTCTCTTGATTTGATTCCTTATTTCTCTTGATTTGTTTCCTTGGCTGTCTAGATTTGGTTCCTTATCTCTCTTTATTTGATTCCTTATTTCTCTTGATTTGGTTTCTTATCTCTCTAGATTTGGTTGCTTATCTCTCTAAATTTGGTTTCCTTATCTCTCTAAATTTCGTTCCTTATCTCTCTAAATCCAAGTTCACAACAAAAGTTCACAAAAAAATCCTTTTCGAACCTTTTGCTTTAAAAACAATCGAAAAGAAGCCTTGTTAAAAGCTTTAAACTAACAAATTTAACTTTCTAAATCCTTTCTTCTCATCGATGACTTGTTCTTTTTCCTTTTTGATCTCCCCTTTTCTTCATTTTTTCAATTTCCATCAATATATTTAGAAACGACAATGTGCTGAATAATTTTTCTCCATCAAAACACTTTTTTTTCTCTTTTTTCTCTTTTAAACTACACTACTGGACAATGAAATATCATAGAAAAAATATTTGAAAATCGATCGTCACTTTTGCGCGTCTGTAACTCCATTGTCTTTAGCGTATTTGTAAATATTAATATTACCATTGTGTAGCCGTTGAAAAGGGCTTTCAGAAAATGTATCACACTAATAGTTTAAACTCAAAGACAAACTCAAAGACAAGGGAGTTACAGACGCGCAAAAGTTTTTCGACGATCGTTTTTCAAATATCATATTTCATTGTCCAGCATTTGTCATTGTTTCTTTCTTTGCGGCTTGTTTATTTTTATCAATTTCACTCTATTATATTCTATTTTACTCAATTAATTATCAAATTTGACAAAATTACAAAAAGAACCAAAAACAACCCAACTTCTACCTTTTAACTTCAAAAATTTATGCAAATTTCTCAAACTTAACCTCCTGCAAACTTTGACTAGAGTCTAAGCAATCTGTCAAAGTCTAAGCAATCTAATTTCCCTCTTTTTTTTTTCTGATCTTTGAAGACGTTCATTACAAATTATCCATTCACAGCCATCCCTTTTCTCATCTCTTCAAATAGAATATATTATTGCGTAAAGAACATCATATTATCTTTTTTTCTTGCTTAGCTAAACGTGAGTCAAGTCTATTTCTGATTTTGAAAATCGAGTTTTTGTTTGTTTCTTTTTTCCGATACCGTATTTTCTCTAATAGAGGTGCACCCCGTGAATGAGCTAAGCCAAGCCTGCCAAGGTCGCTGCAAAGCCAACCACCTAATCAAATGAAACCAAAAATAGACTAGAAATCAGGCTTGAACTTACCGAACTGGCTTACCGAACTGGCTTACCGAACTTACCGTTTCTCTCTAATAGTAGTGCACCCAGCCGAGCCGACTTGATGTCTATTTTATCGTTTCCAAGCTTTCGCAGAAGCTCAAGACTCAAATCAGCTACAAGATCGCATCGTCAGCTAAATTTTCCGACCCCAAATCGATAGGTTCTGATAAGCAGTTCTCGAGATTTTGAGGAATTTAGGCGACGCTCAACGTGCATTAGTATTAGAGAAGATACGGTAGATAGAAAATCGACAAAAAAAGAGATTCATTGGATTCAAATCAATCCAAAGAAAAACAAAAGCAAAGACGTTAAAAGACGGATCACACTCTTTCTCCCAATTCAAATGCCTTTTTCACCAACAAAGACAATCAGAAAAAGGACGTTTTCCAATAAAATTTTGCGTTCTCTATACGTCCCAAACATCGCTCCAAAAATCCGCGCAAATTAAAAATCGATCCCAAAAATTTAGCATAGGTTGTAAAGCGTGCTCAGTCGCTCACGCAACTTCATTCCCCGTTTTCCCAAAAGCTTTATACCAAGGGGTATGCCAGGTCGTCAGCGATTCTCACAAAGCGGCACAAAGAACCCCTCGCCAGTCAGAAATTCTTGCTTTATAGATCGAAGAAAATGATATTCAGCTGTGAATTTGTCTTTGGCAATTGACTAATCGATTGATTGGCGATCGATTAATCGATTGATTGGCGATCGATTAATTGATTGGCAATTGACTAATCGATTGATTGACAATCGATTAATTGATTGATTGACAATCGATTAATTGATTGATTGGCGATCGATTAATTGATTGGCAATTGACTAATCGATTGATTGACAATCGACTAATTGATTGATTGGCGATCGATTAATTGATTGGCAATTGACTAATCGATTGATTGACAATCGACTAATTGATTGATTGACAATCGACTAATCGATTGATTGACAATCGATTAATTGATTGATTGACAATCAACTAATTGATTGATTGACAATCGACTAATCGATTGATTGACAATCGACTAATCGATTGATTGACAATCGACTAATTGATTGATTGGCGATCGATTAATTGATTGGCAATTGACTAATCGATTGATTGACAATCGACTAATCGATTGATTGACAATCGACTAATCGATTGATTGACAATCGACTAATTGATTGATTGACAATCGACTAATTGATTAGCAATTGACTAATCGATTGATTGGCAATTGACTCATCGATTGACGGGGTTTATTTCATTGAGTATCTCATTCAATTTCAATATCTAATCAAAGAATCAAAGCCAGAAGGAAACTGATTGAAAGAACGATCAAAAAAAGTGAAATTTCTTCAAATTTCTTCAAATTTCTTCTTCTTTATTCCTAAATCACTTTTTTGCTAAATAACTAACCCTATTTTCATCAAAATTTCTTTCTTTTCGTATTTCTCTCAAGTAATTGATCTCTTTTTTGTTTGTTCGAAAACAATTCCAGAATTCTTAAAGGTTGACTATCGAATTTCTTAGCTTTGAACTTCAAAAAGCTTCAAAAAATTTGTTCATTGCCTAGAATTGCTTTGCAAAAATTGATTATTTATAGAAATTTATCGAAATTTATCGAAATTTAAAGAAATTTATCGAAATTTATCGAAATTTATAGAAATTTATAGAAATTCTCTTTCTTAAACATTTAGAATACTTGAATAAACCCAAAAAAAGCCCAAAAAACCCAAAAAATAATTTTAATTGTTAATTGTTAATTGCTAATTGTTAATTTTAAAAGAATTCTTTGAAATTTGATGTTTTAAATGAGAAAATTAAGTCTAAATTACATTTAGAAATGAATGAACTTTTAAAATTTCATTTAGAAATGATTAAACTTATCAAAAAAGTTTGATTTTTATGAAATTTTAATGAAATTTTGTGAAATTTTGTGAAAAAAGCTTGTTTACTTGATCTTTATCAAATTTAAAACCGAATTCATTTACAGATATGAATGAAACCGGGATGATGGACGGGGAAAGTCCATCGGAAGTTTACCTCTTCATTCTGCCGATCATTGTCACACTGGGCTTAGGCGGGAATATCATCTCCCTTGTCACCATCTTTCATTCACGATTACGACATGTAAGTAGAAGTAGAAGTAGAAGTAGAAGTAGAAGTAGAAGTAGAAGTAGAAGTAGAAGTAGAAGAAGAAGAAGTAGAAGTAGAAGTAGAAGTAGAAGAAGTAGAAGTAGAAGAAGAAGAAGTAGAAGAAAGTAGAAGTAGAAAGAAGAAGAAGTAGAAGAAGTAGAAGTAGAAGAAGAAGAAGTAGAAGAAAGTAGAAGTAGAAGAAGTAGAAGTAGAAGAAGTAGAAGAAGAAGAAAGTAGAAGAAGAAAGTAGAAAGAAAGAAGAAATCTCAAATCATAATCAAATCATTTTTCTAGATTTCCGCAAATGTTTATTTAATTGTGCTCACCGCTGCCGACAGTGTTTTCCTCTTTGGCGTTCTTTTAATATGTTTTAAGGTGAGTAAAGACTAAAGTTAATTTAAAGACTTTTGGCGAGTATGTCTAAACCTTTTTTCTAATCTAGTCAACACTAGTCAAGCCTTTACAGTGCTAACCAGCTCGGATTATAGTTTAATTCGTTCTATAAACAGAGTCAA